TCACAATCAAGAATAACCAGTTTTTTGGCTATCCTTATTAAATTTTTGCTTTGATTGAAGCTTTTCAGCTAAAACAAATACCATTGATCTTACCATTATCCGAGTAGGAGCAAACCCACGGTTCTGTAACTTTGTGATATAATTTATTATTTTTATTATTCCAGATTTAGCCATATGGCTCACACTAGCTCTAAGGGGAAAATTCACTCATCCCAGATACCTACGGTATCAAAAGGATTGAGCTCTGGTGGGACTCTTTCCATGTTATCGAGTCCTAGGTGACTTGGTACGTCGGTGTATCTCCCAAAAATTTTCGCACGCATCTGGACGTCGAAAGTAGTACAGATTTCTGCATGATCTTATATAGATGTTCATTTAGACCCAGCTTTTTTATGTTTTCTAGGAGGTTCTTCGGAATGATTCCACCAGTGGTAGAAAGAATAATAGGTATCGTCTGGGTACTTTCCATTCTCCATTGTCTCCTTATTTGTATTTCCAGATCTCTGTACTTGGCGATCTTTTCGTTGTACTTAACACGCAGATTATTGTTGTTAGGTATCGCCACATCGATTAGAGTTGTTTGTCTTGTTAGTTTATTAACTAGCACGAGATCTGGTCTATTATGTGCTACAGTTTGGTCTGTGAGCACAGTGCGATCCCAGTATAGCTTCTAGTTGTCATTCTCAAGCATACTCTCTGGAACGTATTGATAATATGGGAGATGGTTTGTTTGTAGAAGTGCTAGTTTAATAGCTTTCTCTTGATAGAGGATCTTCCCTACTGAGTCATGCCGTTCCTTATATTCAGTTGCAGCAAATGCCTGGCAGCCTCCAGTAAGATGTTGGATCGTTTCTTGGGCTTGACATCCATATCGGCATTTGTCGTTTTGGACCTGAGGGTCTTTGACAATATATTTCAGGTAATTTTTGGTTGGTATAACCTGATCCTGAATGGCGAGTAATGAACCTTCTGTTTCAGGGAACATCTTTCCTGATGTCAGCCAATAGTTCGACGCTATATTGTCGACATAGTCTTGACTGACCTCATTCGGATGTCGCCCGTGTAGAGGTTTACCCATCCAGATGCGCATTTTTTCGTTCTTAGTAAGATGGTCTATACGCATTTCTTGTTCCCTCAGTTTGATCGGTGTTGTATCATCTACTGCACAAATCGCGCGATGAAGAGTAGATGTCTCCGCCTGCACCTAAGTTCTTAAATTAGTAATCTGTTTTTCTAATTGCTCGCTTATATCAAGTCCTCGTCCTACTAAATACCGCGGTAATGTCGTTCTTTCTACTGCACTTCGAGGATGGTGTTTTTGTGCCTTTGTGAGGTGTGTTCGTACTTTTTTCTGAAGAGTTTCTATATCCGTTTTAGTCCACTTAATAATACCAAATGAGTAGCTAAGCGCGGAAAATGCATAGGTGTTTAATGCCTTAAACAAATTTTTACTATTAAGATGTGAGCGGAGTAGCTGTTTTACTCTTCTTATGAACTCTGATATTAATTCGATTTTCATTTGTTTATGGTCAATTTTTCGCGCTTGCTTTACTCCTAGATATTTATACATATCATTTTCGCCCATAGCCTCGATGTTTTGGCCATTTTGCATATCGAATCCCCCGGGCTGAACCTTTTCCTTAACTATATTTAATACACGACATTTGTCTAACCCAAAGTGCATACTGATATCATTTGAAAAAGTTTCCACAGTTTTTTAGCATTTGATCTAAGTGATTTCGAGTGGAAGCCATTAGTTTCAAATCATCCATATACAACAGATGATTAAGCTTTGCCACTACATTGTTGTTGTTTTTAATGCTAAAACCTGAGTCACTAGAGTTTAATAGCTGGGATAGTGGGTTCATCGCTAGACAGAACCACAAGGGGCCATTCATGCGGTACTGAGTCAAAGGCTTTCTTATAGTCAATAAAGGCAGTAAAGAGGTTCCTTTTTTTGGTGTATGCCTGGTTAGAATATAATAGGTTAGTATTATTATTATTATTATTATATAACAAATAAGGGCAGAGGAGCGAGCTCCTATTATGCCCAAAAAGCAAAAATAAACAACAATAAAATATATCCTTATAAAACTAATACTAATTATAAAGTTAAGTACAGTTAAACAAATTAACAAAAATTGAATTGTGACACAATAAATAAATAAATAATACTGTCTGAGAAAAAATATCCTATCCTATAAAAAAAAATAAGGCGTTATCAAGTTTATTTTTAAAGATGTTAACACTAGCTGCCGATATGGTGTCTTGATCTAAATTGTTCCAGATATTAAAGATTCTGTTTCGCAAGAAGTTCACCCTGGACCTTGCAGTAGTTTGTTCCCTCTTTAATTTGTATCGATGGCCTCTTAATCTTTCGTCTTGATTCAAAGTGAATATGGTGTTTACGTTTCCAAAATTATGTTTTAAAATACGGAAGGACATAATTAGGTCATCTCGAAGACGTCGCTGCTCGAATGTCGTAAGATGAGCCATGAATAGTCTATCTTCATAGTTAGGTCTTACACGGCCGTATGCCAGTCTTGTGGCTTTACGCTGAACGTTTTCAAGTATGATTTTATCGCGACTGAGATCTGGATTCCACACTGGTCCGGCAAACTCAAGAATAGGTCTAACGTATATTGAGTAAAGTTTACTAACAGAGGTTAGAGATATGCGTGCAAAACATTTACGGATCAAAAACAGTTTCGAGTTAGCACGTTTACACACCGACACTATGTGATCAGACCAATTTAAGTCACTATTAATTATCACTCCGAGATCGTTGTGTGAGGTTACAGAGTTTAAAGGATGTCCATTAATAAAGTACGGCAGTGATGGGTTATTTTTGCCGATATGTAAAACAACGCATTTTTCAATGTTAAGCGGAAGTAACCATTTTGAGGACCATTTGAATATTGCGTCAAGATCTTGTTGAAGAATATGTTGGTTAATAGTTGGATTCACATATAACTTCGTGTCATCAGCGTAAATGGAAACCTTACTGGATACAATGAGCGGAAGATCACTAGTGTAGACACAAAAAAGTAGCGGTCCAAGTACTGATCCTTGTGGAACTCCACTCTTGACTGGCTTATCTAGTGAATGGTCTTCCCCAACACGAACCCTGAAGTATCTGTCGGATAGAAAATCTTGTATCCAAATGTTTAACTTTCCGCGGATACCATAGTGATCCAATTTAGCTAGTAATCGACGTTTTGGAACACGATCGAAAGCTTTGGAGAAGTCTAAGTAAACTACATCGACAGGATTTCGATTGTTTAAAGATAATGACCAATCATTTACACAATGAAGTAAGTTTGTGATCGTTGAACGACCTTTGATAAATCCATGCTGTTGGTGAGGGATGACATTTTCTCGAAGAAGGAACTCGGACATAGCTTCCGAAATAATCGATTCCATGACCTTGCCGACAATAGAAACCAGGCTGATTGGACGATATTTATTGCAATCAAGTTTATTACCTTTCTTGAATACAGAAATGAGAAATACCAGCTACTGCAGCTTCTTATAGAGGGAAGGTAGAAGGAAGACGTGGTCCTGGTAGACGCAGGCGTCCTGGTTGAAGAACATTCGTGAGTGGACTGGTTTGGATTCTCAATCTTTAATAAGAAAAGCCAGGGACAGAAATGATTTTGCTGAGGTTATCGCCAACCTTCATTGAAGACGGCACCCAAAGAAGAAGAAGAAGAATACAGGAGTAACAGAAGCCAATTTCCAGGACGAGGGGAGGGAACCTTGATTAAAAGAAGCAGTCATTATGAGAGATATAGGGATGGCGACAGAATCTGCACATTGTTTGAGGAAAAAAGAGGTGAGTCCATCTAATCCAGGTGATGAATTATTTCGCAGTTTCCTTAAATGATGTTCAATTTCATCCGGTGTGAAAGATATATTTTCAAGAGTTTTAGACAAACGAGGGCACATTATTTGAGGAATGGTATCGTTAGATTCATCTGTAAAAACTTGAGAAAAGAATAACGATAAACATTCCGAAGATTCGTTATTCGAAGAACATAAAGACCCATCAGCTTTTTGAAGCAATGGTATGGAAACTTTAGAAGATAAAGATGTACGAATGTACCGATAAACTTTTTTACTATTACCACTTGCAATGATAGATTCTTCAAATTCTGTTCTTAACTTTAGCAAAGATTGTTTGACTCGGTTAGAAAAATTACGGTGGGCGAAAAAAATCATCAGTGGAACTAGTGAGTTTATATCTTCGCCAAGATTTACCAATTTAATTTCATTATTTATCCCAGGAGTACAAGTCAGATCAAGTTTACGCTTTCGGAAGTCCCTTGTTTTTTTAAGGCAGCGCAATTTTGCTCATGTTATATGAAAATATCTACTGGCTTTGTTTACATCCATTTTTTCATTTTCAATTAATGTAATTGCTTGTACAAGCTGCTTGTTCGACTACTTGCCTCTAGACACATTGCTTTTTCACGCATAATCTGTCGGAATATCTGTAAAAAATAAAATAGTTTAAATACCATTTATCAGCATGCTTTATCTGTCCTACAATAATCCAACGCACCTAAAGTTATACGGAGAGCTGGCTCAGTCGTTTTACCTCGAAATTGTGGATATGTGACCGTCAAAAGAGGTTAGAATACCTGAGGAGGTGAGAATCTTACCTGAACTTGTACGCCATTCTAACAACTAACACTAATTTCAATATAGACTTTTGTACAAGGTTGCCAGAATGTTATCAATGTGTGTAAGGACAAGGATAGTAACAGCCAGCTATCTCATCTGATACGCCATCTCTCCTAGAAATACCCCAAATAAAGTAAAAAAAGTAATTTATTAGAAATGCATGGTTATAATAATAAATAATGTTGATGCGTACACATACTAACAAAGAAAAGATAAAACGTCGATAATAGTCATCAATTATCGCTTTAAGAAATAGTTTATTTTACTACTGAGATCGTTTAGTACTTGTTACCTTAACTATTCACTGATTTTAGGCCTTCAGTCCTACGTTAAAACCTGCACCAGAGATACGGGACATACTCAAGTCCCAGTAGTTGATCGAAGATGCGCCCATTTGCACTCACCCACTCCAGCACCGATACGCTGCAATACTTCTCCGTGTCCTCCTTCTTGGGAATTTCATTGGAGTCAATGTAGCGCGACTTGTGGAGAAGGACTCCAACAATACACCCCACAATGTAAACAAGATTCTCTTACAGTGAGCGAAAGTTTATGTTCTAAGCCTAAACCCAGTATTCAGACAAGGCCATGTCGAGAAAGTTTTTGCGACAATCGAAGCGAAAATGAACTACCGCAAACTTACGAAGACAACGCAAACAATTTTGACTGGGCTACTGGACTATGGTCTCCAGTAAGTATTTAACTTCTAGATTTATCAGCAAAAAATATTATCATTAATAATTTTTTGTTGTCATATGGCATTTGGCAACATACGTATTGAAATAATAAATGATGTCGTTATTTAGTACAATATATTATTTAAATAATTATGAAGGAAGCGGAATAAAACATTATATGCATAAAGCCATGTTACATTTTGCACTTATGGTTCGAAGTACATATTTACAGGTAATGCGAATATTTCCCTTTTTATTTGCTTCTGTAAAACAATCAGTTTGATCAAATTTAATACTCTATGGCAGGGGTCTCCAAACTTTCCAGCCTTAGGGCCATACTGATTACTCCAGTAAGTTCTGAGGGCCAAGATGGCAACACTGTATTTTATATATTTTTTTTATATTTTATTATTATTTATATATTTTATATATTTCTCTATTTTATGTGTAATAGAATTTTGCTGAAGTGTGGATCATTTTTTGTAAAATAACGAATAATTTAATTTTTTGAAAGTGTGGTAAGCTGTCAACATTATTAAGTATGTCAAATATTCACCTGTTTTTGATATATTTTAATTTAATACAAGGTAGACATAAACAAACAAAATATTTCCACCAGTGGAAATCTCCAATCTCTCCCGAGATTGTCCACTAATAACATAATTATTCTTTCTACTATTTTTCAACGCCATCGTTAGAAATTGTCACAAACACACTTAACTATCCGAAATAATAAGAAGTCTGAAAAATAATAGCCGCAAATTACTTAAGTGTTACGCACCTGATAACTGGGAGGAGACTAAAGACCCCACCTAAGTGGGACGAGTGCGAGGACGAAGCGATGACAATAGTGGCGTAACTGCAAGTCAGTTCCTATGAAACTGTTGTGAAATAAAATAGGGCGTCTTAAAACAAGTTTTTGCGTGTAACAGTATTTTGATTTGATTTGAATTGTTGCTTTTGTGTATGATTTAGTAGAATGGAAAAGAAGCGAAAAATTGATAGTGAATGCAGAAAATTCAAAGATCAGTGGAACATTCAGTATTTCGTAATTGAGTCCAGTAACAAGGCGCTATGTTTGATTTGCAATGAAAGCATAGCCGTTCTTAAAGAATATAACATGAAACGTCATTCATTATGAAACAAAACATTCTCAAAATTACTCAAAATATACAGGAATTGTGCGGACAGAAAAATTCGAAGCTTTGAAGTGCAGATTGAAATCGCAGCAATCTTTATTTACAAAAGTCAAAACTGAACAAGAGGCGGCAATTCGTGCCAGCTTTCGTGTGGCTCTTGAAATTGCAAAACGTGGAAAACCATTCACCGATGGAGAAATGATCAAGGAATGCATAATTGCAGTAGTCGAAGAAATGTGCCCTGAAAAGGTAAATTTATTAAAAACTGTCAGTATGTCAGCAAACACTGTGGCTCGAAGGGTAGAAAACATCGCTGAAAATATATCCTCTCAACTGTTCGACAAAAATGGACATGTTGAGTGGTTTTCTTTGGTCTTGGATGAGTCAACGGATGTGTCAGATACTGCTCAGGTGTTGATTTATATTAGAGGAGTAGATAAAAGCTATGAAGTGCACGACGAACTTCTTGATATGCATAGTATTCATGGCACAACTACTGGTACCGATATTTTTAAAGGAGTTGAAATGGCCATTAATAAAAAGAACCTTCGATGGAAAAACTTGAAATGTATTACAACTGATGAAGGCAAAAACATGAGTGGGAAAGATAAAGGAGTGGTCGCTCTTGTGTCAAAGGCTGTAGAAAATGACGGCGGCTCAAAACCATTAGTCTTACATTGTATCATTCATCAACAGTCTTTGTGAGGAAAATGTTTGGATATGTCTGACGTTCTGAAACCAGTCATATCAACTGTTAATTTCATCAGATCTTTTGGGTTGAATCACCGACAATTCCGACAATTTATTGCAGAGATTGGAGAAACAGACTTACCTAATCATACTGCCGTACGCTGGCTTAGTTGTGGGAAAGTCCTTCAGCGCTTTTTTGAACTTCGAGCAGTGATCGAAATTTTTTTGAATGAAAAGCACCGCCCTCTTACTGAATTACAAAACAACGCATGGCTATGGAAGTTAGCATTCTATGTTGATTTGACAAAACATGTGAACGAACTGAATTTGAGATTGCAAGGAGAAAACCAGCATCTTCCTGATTTATACACTAATATCAAGTCATTCCGGATGAAATTGATACTGTTTCAATCACAACTACGAAGTAAATGTTTTTCACATTTTAAAACATGTGAAATATTCAGCCACACTACTGAGACTGAGTTTCCTATCGATTTTGCAATCGAAACTTTTAGTGCTTTGAAGATAAATTTTGATACTCGTTTCTCGGACTTTGATGCCATTGCGAATCAAATTAAGATTTTTCAGAATCCTTTTGATGCTGACATTGAAACCCTAGCCCCGGAACTTCAAATGGAAATGATTGATCTTCAGTGCAGTGATATAATTAAGAACATTTTAAGAGCATTTCATATGTCATGTTTGTTATAAGGTATGTGTTGTTTATTACTTACAATGTATAAAATGTTAGTTGGATTCATTTCAATAATTTGTTAGTTATTATATGCTGAAGTTAAATTTACTGCATAAATTATACATGCCTTTACTCATTACCATTCTGTGTTTCTTTATCCAACTTATCACAAACATTTTATTTGCTATAAAAAATATTTGTTCTCTAAATGGAGTTTTCAAGTATGTCTCCGCGGGCCGGACAAAATCTGTCTGCGGGCCGGATGTGGCCCTCGGGTCGTAGTTTGGAGACCCCTTGTCTATGGAATACAAAATCCGATGATATTATTAATTGTCTCCCACTCTTTGACAAAAAAAATATTGTTATATCTTTAAGTAGACGTTAGTTAGTTCTGATAGAATTAAACAGACATTTTTTTAACAAATTAGGATGCCGATCTTCCTACCATTTAAAGCATACTAATTACTTCATACTTGAAGGACAGCCCACTGGAGTAGGAAATAAGAACACAAGCAAGCATTTTAAACAATACGTAATTTAATAATTGAATATTACTACAACTCAGTTAACATTTAGCCAAAATTTTAGCTCAAGTTCTTTTATTGAACCCGTATTACTGTTCACCATGCACTCATCCGCGATACACTACACGAGCACTGATACAGATTAAAATGTTATTAATAATTATCACTTCAACTTATTACGTTTTCTTCAATATTAATATACTTGATTAATAATGAGCGTTCAGCTTTTAACTATAAGCTATGTAACAATAACTAGGTATACTCAATACGCGAGACTCTAAATTCTTAAACCAGAAATTCGTCGAATTTGATCGAATACAAAACTAACACTAACTTATATGCGAGAGTTAAACCTCTAACCAAATAGCGACCAGCTAAGCTGGGATACAATTTTATACTGACTAGGTGACTACTTTTAAATTATCATTTCATATCAAAACATCACATATCAGGGGCCAAGGAAAATTTCTTCGAAATTTCTATTCGGTAGCTAAAAACCCCTTTTGAAAGATTGCTAATGGGGATTTCCAAGGTACCAGTTTTCAATGATTAACAACAGCCTTTGAATGCTTTATACCAGTGATTTGTTTGGAATTTGCTAGTAGAATATTACATCGGTAGATTTGACGAAATTAGAAAGTGTTTGCTACCAGTGGAGTAGCAACACTTGGATAAATTTTTTACAGAAATTTCAAGTTCTAATATGAAAATATGTACTGATATATATCTGAAAATTACATTTTTAACTAATGTTTGGCGTTACGATTTCCAATCTGGAAATCTTTTTCAAAAAAGGTTATTAAAAAAAATGCTGCGAATGCAATATACAAAATACACAAAATTGTCATAATTTGATATCCCAAGGTTAAACACAGTCGTTGCTATTTTTGAAAATAAGATAGTGTTAGGGGACATTCTGCGGGAATTCTGTTTTCTCAAAATAATTAATTCTATGGAAGAATGACTTAGAAATGTTAAAGAGCAACAACCTATAAATAGAAAATAAATTATCCATAAGTTAACAATTTCTCTTGTCTTTGTCACCAAATAGCCATCTTTTATATTGGGACTCAAAGATTTCTACACACACACACATGATTAGTTTCATTTAGGTATATTGCTTGCAGTCACGCTATCCATAAATACGTGACTTTTTTTTGTCCTATTTTCGTATTGGCATGAAATTGTTTATACGCCGTTTCTTTAGCTTTTGGATAATTGTAATCGTCCAGGGTTTATCTAGTTTATTAATTTTTGTATTATCAGTGAAGACATTGGAAAATTCTCATTCTAGAGAAATTATTACAGCCACTTACAAATTTAATTTCAATAAAACATCGAATTTCATCCGCAGTCATTAAAGGGATTAAGACAGTGGGGGTTTAGAAACAAAATATGCCTTGTTCCTTCGTTAACAAGTGTTAAATAATTTTTGTACCTATCTATTTTTAGCTAGCAGGATTTATTTATGGGGCATTAACCCAGATATAACTAAGACTTCCTTTAAAATATTTTTGAATATTTTTCTCCAAATTTACGCATTTTATAAGGTAGGCAACAAAAACATATTTATCGTTAAAACAAAATATTTATGCAAAATAAGAAAAAAAAATACTGTAAAAAATATGGTACTCCAGGCACAATTACGATTAAGTTTGGATATGGTATGAAACAAAACATTTGATATGGAAATCTGCTTTGCATTTTGAACACCGCACTTTAGCTCTATCATGGCACAAACCTCATCGAGTTAGTTTAATCTGTAAAAAATGGTCTAATCGATCACAGCGAATATCGAAGTTTCCATTGGTCGATTGAAGACCTCGAGAATAGGAAGCAGGTTTCTAATTTTTTTGTAACAAATATGTGTGTGTGTGTGTAGTTTTATTTTATGACTAGAGACATAGTCCATTAGCCTATTATGTTTTGAGTTATTAATTAATTTTTTAAACAATTGTTATAGAGAGAACCCGTAACAACAATAAAATCTTAACTTCTATTGACTTACATATAAGTACGTACCTACATTAATTTTTTTTTTTTTTCATTTTATTTTTTTTAATTTTTTTTTATTTTACTTTTTTTTATTTTGTTTTATTTTCTTTTTATTTTTTTTATTATTTCTTTTTTTTTATTTTTTTTTTATTTTTAGTTTTTTTTTACTGGAAGGAAAAGGAAAATATATGGTTTTGCTGATTTATTACATACGCCTAGGGGTCTATCAAGGCGATTTGCACAACACAAAATTAGACCACGGATAGAAAGGTTAACAACTGGGTTAAAACAAAGGACTTATATAACTAACTTTTTATGTTTGAAATATATACAATGTTACCATAATACATTTAGAAATTCAATTTCATTTCACGTACGTGGTGAAAAATTATTTCATAAATATGTAAGTTATTGGTTTTTATTAAATCTGATAAATTAAAGGGTCTTTTAATAAGAATTTTTTCCTTATTGATATACTCGTATATTTTTATTATAAATTGGTTTATACATCGTGTATTTAAAGAGCAATTTAAAACTAAATGCTCAATTGAGCCTTCTTCGCCACATTCGCAAAATGGAGTTTCAGCTAAATTAATTCTGAACTTATGTAACGGAGACAGAGCATGGTTAAATCTTATTCTACATAGTATTCTAATAATATCTTTATTAAAATTTGAGTTTTTGAACCACATTGAGGACTGTATTTTTGGTTTTATATCTTTATAATATAATCCTTTGTTGGATAAATTGTACATTGTTTGCCATGAATTTAACATTTTTTTCCTTAGATGAGAATTTAGATCCTCACTTACACATTTATATTTTGATTCTTTAGATGGTTCATTATATTTAGCAATTTTGTCTACTATTTCATTATTTAATATTCCACAATGAGCTTTTATCCAACAAAACATTACATTAGATCCTCTTAATTTCATTGTACCCACCAGGTTTATTATTTCAGACAACACATAATTAAATCCAATATTGTTATATTTAGAAATATTTTCAATTTTTTGTATTGAGCTTTTACTATCAGAGAATATAACGTAATTAGATTTTGTTCTTAAGAAATTACTAATGTATTTAAGTGCTTCTAATATTGCTATTAGTTCAGCGGTATATATCGAGGTTTTAATATTTAGATCTACTACTGTACTAAATTTTCGATCTGGATCGTAAAAGGCAGATGTAACCTTTAAATCTGATTTAGATGCATCCGAAAAAATATATGAGTAATTAAGGAACATAGACTTTATGTCAGCTTGGAACATGCTATTCCGGATATATTGTGGGAATTCTGAGTAGTCTCTAAGATATCCTACTTTTATGCTGTCCAAGTGTTCTAATTCTATTTTAAAACATGGTAATTCTCTTGATGTCGAAATGTTCTTACTAAGTTGTATCCTTACGTATTTGTACGATTCAATAATAGGAATTGTAGGCTTTTTTTGCCAATATTCCTTGACTAGATCGTAAATACTGAGCTCGAAGCATTTTTGGACTACCGGACTTTTCTTTGCATAAATTTTTAATAAAAACTTCTCCGTTAAGTAATCTCTTCTGAAATTTAGTGGAGGTTCATTGCATTCTACTTTTAAATTTGAAATGGGTGTACTCTTAAGTGCGCCTATACTTATTCTTAAGACTTTATTTACTAGCCTATCTAATTTCTTCAGGAGTCTTCGCTGCTTGACTATAAAAAATTGACCCATAATCTATTATTGAACTTGTAACAAATATATTGCAATGCGTCTTATAAACGATAACTAAGTTGATCTACCTTTATGCGAACGATCAACTTAACAGGCATTATAAACAGCCATGTCATGTATTGACTGATCAATGAAAGATATCAGTTTTTCCACAAATAAAAATGTGGTAGAAACTAATACTTTGATCACTACAATCGACTCCGCCTATATTTACACTATTTATGCAAGGTAGAATCATTCTACCAGAAATGATAAATAATACTAGTATTACAGAAGAACAATGTCTAGTTTGTTTCATACCTGGATCAGTTTCTTGTTCTGGGAACCGTTTTACAAGACGAATTTGTTGCAGTCCTGCAGAGTTTGAACAAAGTTTTACTATTTATTTCTTAATTATATGTCTATGTCTTATTATTTTTGTAATTATATGTCCCTTTGTTTTCTTTTATCATAATTTTCGAATATTGTAATTGTACTTCTTCTAAACCATTTTATTAAACCGTGTCATTGGCTAAAAATCGTTTCGTCAGTATCTTCATAAGGAGAATTAGGGTAAAAGATCACTCAAAATTAAGAATAAACTTTTCATTTGGAAATATTTCTCGTAGCGCCTTAGAATATTCCAATAAACCGCTAGTTCCGACTCGATAGTCTGTATAATGTATTTTTAGTTACGTACGTGATCTATTGACATTATACCTTAAATGCCAAACTCTTCGTCTATTGGGAGACCACATACATTTACTGAAGGCACCAAAGTAATAGTGTCTACATTTGGTACTAAATTTTCATCATTATCTAACGTACCAAGCGCATCCTCCAGTGAAAAACTTTTAAAAGAATATAGAATTTACTGGCGTACAATATTTTGTACACTAAAATCAAATAGCCTAACAATAATTACAAAAGAATAATTTAACCAATTTTTTAATTTATATCGAAACATATAAGTATGTATTTTTTACCCTAAATATATAAAAAAAAATTTCTGCATAAATATAACATATATTTAGACACTTAGCAGTTGACAGATTATTAAACGAATAATTTTGTAGACAACCAGTTGAGTTAACGCAGACAGTAACAGCAATGGTGACGGAAATAACAAACGAAGAAGTGGCTCAAGCGATTCAAAAAATATAGAAAGGAAAAGCAGTTGGACTAGATGATATTCCTGTGAAAAGCATTAGGAGAGGCAGAGACAAATTGGTTAACAGGTCTATTTAATAGAATTGGGTATGGAAGTTGGACAAATGCCAGACGAATGGAGAAGCAGTGTATCCCGTCTACAAAAACAAGGAAGATGTACATCAATGAACAAACTACAGGGCCATAAAACTACTTAGTTACACCAAGAAAATAAGGGAGAGAGTAATTACCAGACAAATATGTAAAGAAACCGAAATAGCCGAAGCCAGTTTGGTTTTACGCAAGGCAGGGCAACAACAGACGCAATTTTTAGACAGAGTCCCCGGTGAATATGTAAAGATTCTAAGAGACATGTATGAGAAAGTAACAACTTGTGTTAGGACAGGTGTGAGTGAGACTGATAAATTCCATGTGAAAGTAGGATTGCACCAAAGCTCGGTGCTTAGTCCTTATTTATTCTCAAAAGTTCTGGACCAATTAACAGCTAAACTACAGGGTAATATTCCGTGGTGCTTAATCTATGTTGATAATGTAGTGTCAGTAGGAAATAATGAAAGCGATTTAGAACAAAAAGTGAAACAGTGGAGACAACCTCTTAACCAAAAAGGTTTACAACTTAGTAGAACAAAAACAGAGTATTTGGAATGTTAGTTTAAAGATGGAGTTAGTACAAGTAGAATAATATATTTGGATGGTGAAATGATTGTGGAAAGTAATGATTTTAAATACCTAGGATCGGTGTTACAGAGTAACAGGTGAATATATTTAGATGCATGCAAAAGAATTAAGGTTGGATGGTTTAAGTGAAAGAAAGTGAGTGGTGTGTTGTGTGACCAAAAAATTCCAGACCAAAATGGAAAATTATATAAAACAGCCATAAGAGCAGCCATGGTGTACGAAACTGAATAATGGGCAGTTAAAAATAAAGAGTAATAACGAATGCATGTGGTGAAAATAATATTGCTTAGATGGATGAGTACAGTAATAAAAAAGGATAAAATTTGGAATCAGTATATTAGGAGAAGTCAAGGGATGGCACCAATTGTTGAAAAGATGAAAGAGCATAGGTTGAGATGATTTAGTCATATTCAATGTAGAAACGTTAATCGCTTAATATTAAAAATTGCTGATCTGCCCTCGAATTAACAGGAGAGGAAACCCAAAAAAGACCTGGGGGTAGACGCTTATAGGCAAGACATGATAAAATCATAGAGAATGATGCTAATCTTTAGATCCTCCTCCTCAATCCTTTAGCCCTTGTCAGGGCGTAGTGACACCCTAAATATTGTTAGTCTGCTGTCTTCATTGACTGCGATCTTGTGCCATATGGACGGCTTCATGTAGGGATTTTCCCACCAAACTCTTCATTTGGTCTACCCAATCTTTAGATACTTATCAAATTATACTCCTATTCAGCCATACTTTAAAACCTATAAACCTGAATCACCATGTGCATTTAAATTTATGTTTAAATAGAGTTAATTTATATTTAAAAATTGACGGATCCCAGCATTTTGATATTTTTTAAAATAAGGACACAAACAATTTTGTTTCATAAATGGTTTCCACACTGTATAATTTTAAAATTTTACCCTGTATCAGTCCTAATAGACCCCAGAGAATACAGTTCATTGAGATCAGGTCCATAAGGAGTTTTTAAAAATCAAAAAAATACAATACAAAAATACAATATTAAAAATATAATAAAATTTTATTAAAAATAAAGATTGTAAACTATGTCAGACTTGCGTGAATCACCTTGTATATTTAAATTTATGTTTAAAAAGCATACATCTATATTTAAGAGTCTCAGTATTTCCGCATGATTTACAATTTTTTATAATAAGGGCACAAACAATTTTATTTCAACCGTGATTTCCACATTGTATATATAGTACTTATATAGTTTACTTTTACACTTTTAGTGTTCGGTCTCCTGTGGTACTGGTCACAGAACAAGATCAGTTACCTGCCCTTCAGGAAGATGTCTACCAGATGATCGACCGACTCATGCTGAATATTGCGATATGGGATCTTGCACACCTAGAGAGATAGTCTACCATACTTCTTCTAGCCGATCAATATCAACTTGGTTGGCAACAGACTGGTCGCAATGTTCAGAAGCTTGCGGCACTGGCTCTCAGACTCGATTGGCAGTATGTGGACTTCAGGACAAGGAAAGTTGTCCATCGGAAACAAAACCGGAACTATCCAGAGCGTGTTCAAGTGATAAGCAATGTGACGGACAGTGGTTCACAGGTAAAAAATATTTGTAATATTTGCTGTGTCGTAAATACTAACTTTTTGACTATTTTAATAAGTTCATTATTCCAGAAAAGTTATTTGGAATTTTGATCTATATAGAACATTCTATGGCTCTGAAACAAAACTCTTGACGTTTTTTTATTCAACGTTAAATAAATGAAAACTTTTCTGGTCGCACACTACAATAAATATTTTTTTAGGCGCTCAAAGTCAATATCGTCTTTGTCATCTATTCATCATCATCTTTGGCTCGACAATCCTCTGTGGACCTTGGCCTGCTCTAAGATTCGTCGCCATTCTGTTCGGTTTTTGGCAACATGTTGCCATCTTCTGATTTTTAATATTCGTAAGTCGGTTTCTACTCCATCTAACCACCTAATTCGCGGTCGGCCTTTACTTCTTTTCCCTACAGGTGTTCCTGTGGTTAGCTTTTTAGCAATGGTATTTTTTGGCATTCGTATTATGTGTCCAGCCCATCTAAGTCGCTGTGTTTTAATGAACGTTATGACATCTGGCTCATCAAAGAGCTGATACAATTCAAAATTATATCTTTTGCGCCACTGCACTTGGTCGTTTACAGCTCCAAATATTTTGCGGAGTATTTTACGCTCAAATATTCCCAAAAGTCTTTCATCTTTCTGCGTTAGTGTCCATGTTTCTGCTCCATATGTGAGGACCGGCCTCAGCAATGTTTTGTATATAATAATTTTAGTTCTTCTTTGAATGTTTCTTGAGTGGAAATGCTTTTGGAGTCCATAGTATGCCCTATTTGTAAGATTTATTCGTCTTTTGATTTCTTCGCTTGTTTTATTGGTAGCAGTCAATAGCTATCCAAGGTATGTGAAGTTGTCAACACGTCCAAAGCTATGACTTCCAAAGACTGTTTCTCGTTCCTCATTTGCTATGGGATCCTTTGTAACCAACATGTACTTTGTCATCTATTACCAATATACTATTTCACTATACGAACTTAAATCCAAAGACCAACAAAACATAGCAACATATTTTCCCAAATCGAAAAAAAAGTACTTGAAAAATAAAGCACGATTTGGTTACATTTTCTTAACGCGAAGGACAGACTATAACTAATAAATTGTTTCAGGTATGGCCATCAGGGTAGGTGGTACCTTTGTCTCTTAGGTGGGAAAATATGTAGAGGCATTTTGTTGGTGTTTGGATTTTAATTATATACATTTCAAAAAGGTTTGAAGAAATAAATATTAGACTTACAATCTTTTATTTAGCTTGGGATGACCGATTTAACTACTCTGGTCAAATTAACTGTTTTACAAGTCTATGCCCCAATCAGCGATAAACCCGAAGAAGAGATCGAACAATTTTATAAAATGTTAAAAAATTCACTTAAACATATTAAAAAAGAAGATATAACTATTATTATAGTTGACTTAAATACAAAAATTGGTAAAGTGAAAAGCGGTAAATTTATTGGTGATTTTGGTATAGGGAAGGAAAATAAAATGGGAGAAAGATTTAAATTATTTGTAGATGAAGAATAATTTGCAATAATAAATACGTTCTTGAAAATACCACGAAGACGTTTGTATACTTGGGTCTCTCCGCAAGATCAACCAGGAAATAGTATAAGGAATAATTAGATTGATTAGATAATGGTGAACAAGAAATTCCATAATGGATGCCTATTAGTTATCCCGGTGCTGTTGTATCGTCAGATCACATTTCTATTATTGGTAAATTAAGGTTTAGATTTAAGAAAATTAAAAGAAAACAGAATAGTAACAAGGAATGAAGATTAAAAGATAAGGAAACAAAGGAGACAGTCGCACGAATTCTTTCAGAAAAGCTAAGTAAGATGGAGCAAACTTCTGATTCAGAAGAATCACTCCAGAATATATGTGAAACCTTTAACAAGATCAGAGAAAAACATCTAATAGAACTTAAAAAGAAGGGAAATAGTTAGATGACAATATACTGCAAACTCTGGAAGAAAGGAGAAAATCAAAGAGTAACAAAAAAATGTACAATAATGTTCAGATACAAATGCGAACAGAAATACGAAAAGTCAAAGAAAATTAGTTAAAATCACAGTGTGATGAGATAGAGTTGTTAGAACAAAAACAAGATATGTTTAATATGCATAAAAATGTAAAACAAACAGCTGGTCTTCAAAAATCTCACACAGCTAGAAAACTACAGGATCAACAGAAGAACATCATCACAGATAAAATCAAGAAATATGCATATGGACCAAATACATATTTATGCATGCTTCATTGATTACCATAAAGCGTTCGATACAGTAAAACATAAGCTTATGGAGATATTAACAAATATTGGAATAAACACCTGTGATCTAAGAATTATTAGCAATCTTTACCAGAATCAAACATCATCTATCCGTACACAGGCAGGGGAATCCGATGATATTGAAATCAAACGTGGGGTCCTACAGGGATGTATACTACTACCCTTTATGTTTAACATATACTCTGAGGAAATCTTCTCAGAAGCAGTAGAGGTGTTGCAGTCGGAATTCGAATTAACGGAGAATGTAATAATAATATTAGATACGCGAATGACACGGTAGTATTAGCTGACAGTTATGAAGCCCTTCAGGAGTTAATAAATACAATCACAAAAGTAAGTCAGAGATAAGGACTTTCATTAAACATTAGGAACACAAAATTTATGATGATCTCTAAGAAGGGACAGAAAATTGAAAGAATCAGTGTAAATTGTCAACCAAAAGAAAGAATAAAAACATACACCTATCGAACTTCAATGAAAATTGGACCATTTCCTAGAAATAACATTTAGGATAGAGAAAATAAGATTTGAATTTCAAAAAATGGCTAAGCTATTCATTTATCATCATATTTATTTATCTTCTTCTTCTTCATGTACCATGTCCTTTCAGAACGTTGGTTACCATCATAGCTATTTTAATTTTATTCACTGCCACCCTAAATAGCATGCTTGTATCTACACCATACCAGTCTCGCAAGTTCTTCAACCATGAGGTTCTTCTTCGTCCTGGACTGCGTTTGCCTGCTATTTTTCCTTGCATGATGTTTTGTAGCAATCTATATTTGGGACCTCTCATTACATGTCCGAAATATTCCAGCTTTCTCTGCTTGATGCTTTTTATGATCTCAGTAGTCTTGCTGAGACGTTCTAGTATTGTGGAGTTACGAATCTTCTCCACCCAGGAAACTTTTAAAATTCTTCTATAGCACCACATTTCAAAAGCCTCAAGGCGATTTAGATCGATTTTATTCACAGTCCAGGACTCAACAGCATAAAGTAAGACCGAGAACACGTAGCAGCGAAGTAGGCGGATCCTTAATGCCAATTTTAGGTCTCTGTTACATAACACCTTGGACATCCTTCTAAAAGCAGCTCTAGCCTGTTTATTCTGGATCTAATTTCGCCGTGATTTTCTGCATTACAATTTAATTGCTGTCCAAGGTAGACGATTTTATCAATTTGCTCAAGTTTGATATTATTTACATATATAGACGGTTTTATATTCTGTTGTTTACTTATTACGAGTATTTTGGTTTTCCTTATGTTAAGATCCAGACCTGCCTCCCTACAACTCTCAACGACACTATCAAGTAGTGTTTGCAGATCTTCTTGACTAGAAGCTAGGAGTACTGTATCGTCCGCATATCGCAAATTATTGATGACTTCGCCGTTCACAAGTATTCATTTTTGTTTTTCAGAAAGTGCTTTTTTGAAAATTCTTTCGGAGTAAATGTTAAAAAGCAGGGGTGACAAGAGGCATCCCTGCCGTACTCCTCTTTTAATATTGAGAGCTTGTGATTCCACACCATCTACTAAAACTGATGTTGTTTGATTCCAATATAAATTTGCAATTATTCGAACATCTCTGCCGTCCAAGCCAATGTATTTTAGAGCTTCGATCAATATAGAGTGCTTAACACGATCAAATGCCTTTTGAAAGTCAATAAAACAACAGTATATGTCTACAGATATATTACGACATCTTTGAGCAAGTACGTTCATTCCAAACAGTGCCTCTCTCGTTCCAAATCCGTTACGGAAACCAAACTGAGTGTCATTCAGGTATTCCTCACATTTATTGTAGATACGACCATGTATTACCTTCAGAAAAATTTTCAATAAGTGGTTTAACAAACTGATGGTTCTATAATCAGCACAGGTTTTTGCTGTTGTCTTCTTAGGTAGAGCTATAAACAGTGAGTTAGACCAACCATTAGGTAGTTGTCCGCTGGTATAAATGGTATTGAAAAACGAAGTTATAGCCTCTAAAACATTGCTATCCTTTATAAGCTTATATATTTCAGTTGGAATTTCATCACGACCAGTCGCTCTGCCATCTTTTGATAATTGTATGGCCTTTGTAACCTCACAGCGTGTTATTAGGGGTCCGTCGCAGTTAGTAATATCGGGAGGTGAACTACTCCTATCGTCTTCGAATAGGTTCGTGACGTAATTTTCCCATTCTTTAAGTTTGTCCTCTACTTCGAATATTACTTTACCATTTTCATCCTGTAGCAATGCATTTTGTTTCTTATTGAAGATACCAGCCGCTTCTTTTACTTTTTTATACATGTTAAACGTGTCGTATCTTTTTTCCAGTTCTTCAATGCCATGACACTGTTTGGCTAGATGTTGACTCTTTGCTTCTCGTATTTTACGTCGAATTTCTTTTTGTATGCTATTGTAAAGTGTTTCGTTGGTTTTTGCTAGTCGCCGTTGTTCCATCAAATCCAGTATATCATCTGTCATCCAAGCCTGCTTTTTTGGCTTTGACCTGCCTTGTAAATTTCTCACACAGATTTCTTTTACTGTCGTTACGATTTTATTTAAGCCCTCATCGACGTTTTCACCAATATTTTCCCAAATTAAATTTTCGTTCAGTTGTCTTTGAACTGATTCCTTAACTTTCTCGTCTTGTAGTTGGGCTGTATCAATCTTTTTGCGAGACTTCTTTTTGATCACCTTTTTTAATTTTAATTGGGTTACAGCTACTATGGGATTGTGATCGGACCCAATGTCAGCACCTGGATAAGTTTTAACTGATTTGATGCAGTTTCTTAATCGATTTTTTATTAGAATGAAGTCGATTTGATTCCTAATAATTTTGTCCTCTGATTCTGCATTTGACTTCCAGGTGTAGAGTCTTCTTGGTGGTAGTTTAAAATGGGTATTCGATATAATGAAATCGTGTTCTTGACAGAACTGGACAAGTCGATCTCCACGTTCGTTTCTGTTTCCCAAGCCATATTCCCCCACAATGTTCAAACAGCGTCCTTTGCCGACTTTAGCGTTAAAATCTTCGAGGACTATGGTATTTTCTGCTGCTTTGACAAGATCTAGAGCATCAGTAAGATCTTTGTAGAATGCTTCTAATTTTTCTTCATCACTAGATGATGTTGGGGCATAGACCTGAATTACGTTGGTAATGAACGGCTTTGAACTAAATTTTACTAGCATTACTCTGTCAGATATGGGAATATAAGTTAAAACTGATTGAGCTAAGTGTTTTGCTACTACGATTGCAACTCCATTATAGTGATTGGCATCTGTATTTCCGGCATGGTAGACTTGATATCCATCTACGTCACATACTCCTGATCCCGGCCATCGCATTTCGCTTATTCCGAGGATGCTGATTTGCATTCTTTTCATTTCTTTTATGGCATTGTATATTTTACCTGACTCAAACATGCTTCTGACGTTCCATGTGGCTATTTTGCAAGGATTTCGCATATTAACGACCTGAGAGGCCCTGCAGTCTTGAGATTGTCCTCTCTTGCCGGATCTTGGATTCCGAGATCCATGATCATTAATGTTTTGACTTAAATTAATTACAGCCATCATAGTTAAAACTAGGAGTGCCACAAGGCCTTTAATGCAGTAGTTCTCCTTTGCTTTCTGCATCCTTATGCCGTTGACTAATTTGTAGTTTTACGGTTCTTCCGCCTTCGGAATCAATTTCTCAATTCCAGGACAAAAGAGTGTCCTGCCACTTACCAACTCGTCCGCCCGAAGCCGTTGGTCAGTAAGTGGGGGATTGCTTATACCGACAATCGCTCGGACGCCAGAGCCTCGTTTGTTGTAAAGCAGGATGCACCGGATGATCAGAATCAAGATCATCACACGGGCAGGTGAGGTTGACATTTTGACAGGAGAGGCTATATATTGCTTATCACAGTCCCTTACATCCCTTTTTATTTATCACTACCCATAAAATCAGGTTACTACGATGTTATATCTTCACTATACTATTGTACAGAGTTGAGTCGTGGACTCTCACATACGCTACCTGCAAGAAAATTGAGACTTTCGAAATGTGGGTTTATCGTCGAATCCTGAGGATATCCTATACCGACCACGTTACTAACCAGTACATTTTATTAAGAATGCAAAAAGGACAAGAGTTGTTAACCATAATAAAAACAGCCAAAATTGAATACCTCTGTCACATTATAAACATTATGAGGAACAGCGAAAGATATGGGTTGTTAAAATTAATTCTACAAGGAAAAGTAGAAGGAAAACATGAACCAAGAAGGCGAAGGATTTCCTGGCTGAAAAATCTACCTACGTGGTTCAAAACAACAACCACAAATCTTTTCAGAGCAGCAGTTTGCAAAATACAGATTGCCATGATGGTCACCAATATCCGAAACGGATAGGTACTACAAGAACAACGTACATACAACAAGATACATACCTTGTAGCAAATAAGCTTGAAATGATAGCGGTATGCTGTAATTTCCCAATTTAAATATAAAGACTATATAATCGTACATATTTCTTTCATACGTCTAAGCTACAGAAAGCCTTTCTGGAAGATATATTTTGCATCTATATATATATATATATATATATATATATATATATATATATATATATATATATATATATTATATATATATATATATACAGATTGAACGAATTTAAAATGGATCATACAATTTAATATATGTCTGTTTGAACTGCATTTGTAATAGTGGACCAATATAGAACTTAAATGTGGACAAAAATAAATCCATACCCGGTGATAGACATTGTATAAAATATCGTTCAACTATTCGTCTCCTTTTAGAACGCACCAGAGACTAGAGCGCAGCCCACGGTCAATGTTGCCAATCGCCGTGTAATAATCCGATTTGCGGATCTTTTTGAAAGTTATATCTTCTTCGTATCTTTAAATAAATCGGATATTTGCCTATATTTTTCATTGTATTTACCAATCTACTACAACAGACTAATAACAAAAATAAACCTAATGGTTTGTAGTTATTTCAGAAGTTTGTAGTTATTTTAGAAACATCTAGAGGAATAATATTGGCAACACCGCTCAAAGTCTCCATCTCCAATAAACGAAAGATGGGCTTACCTAAAGCCGGCCACTCACGATACAGCGGCGTGGTTCAACTTCGTTTTTAACTACACACTTTCTTTGATCATATTATCGAAAATCGATTATTATTAGAAATCGAAATGGCTTGATTTAGCGAGAATTTTTTAAGAGAGTTTTTTGAATTATATAAAATACAAGAATGCTTATAGCGAATAAAAGGTAAAACGTATTACGATAGAAACGCCCGAAAACAGGTAATGGACATTCTAGTTTTAAAGTTCCAAAAAGTAAACAAAGATGCGAATGAAGAGTATGTAAGAAAAAAAATTTACAATTTTAGAACATCCTATAAAAGAGAATTAAAATTAACATTGCACTCCAGTAAATCGGGCGCAGGGGCAGAAGAGATTTATTTTGCACCAAAATCTTGGATTCTTTGCACCAGAATCTACGTTTTATTTTAGGTTTCTTTTTACGCTTAGCTATACACAAAGCAAGAGACGCTAAAATGATTGTTTGATTTGACATGGTCGAGAACCGAACAAATACTGCGGCGCAGTATGGTGTGTGGGCGCAAGAGATATTCCAACAAATTGAACAACGCCTCTGTCCGATTATGTCGAACGACACCGCTGTACCGTGAGTGGCCGGCTTTAGGAAGCGATAGGTGGTTTGACCACCTATGAATGAGTTCTTGAATTAGTTCAGAATCCAGCAGCCCGTTGAAGTATTGCATTTTTATAACATAATTATTTGACAACCTTTTGTTGGCCAGCCACCTAGACCGGAGTTGAGCCGAAACAATATATATATATATATATATATATATATATATATATATATATATATATATATATATATATATATATATATATATATATATATATGTGTGTGTGTGTAAATATAATAACAGTTAAATGTTACAGGTCCATGGGGTCCTTGCTCAGACGGCTGCTTAGGTAGAGGCAAACAAAAAAGAGAAGTGGTTTGTGTAATTAAAATCAGAGGTGTGCCTCATGTAACAAACGACATGACCTGTCCATCACATTTGAAACCTTCGGAAGAACAAGCTTGTGAAAGTGGCTGCCCTCCTCGTTGGTACTTTGGAGACTGGAGGCAATGTGAAGGTATGATTTTCGCATAAAAATATTTCTTTTAGAAGATCTTTTTTGAGAGTCTGATTTAAATATTTACAATTTCAAGATAATATAATAAAAAATAAATAAATAATTTTTATTTGATAATTACACTAACGCAAATTCTATAGTTTTTAAAGTAGAAACTTTTAATAAAGCTTGTATCCTTCAAATAATATCTTATTAACCATTAGCAGCCAACCAATTTACTAAATATTTACAATCATTTTAAACATTGGATTGAGTTTAACATGCTGGTACTAGAGAGAAGCTTGTAAATGTCATTTGTGTTTACAATACAAGAAAAGTATTATAAAGACCCATATTTAGGTACCTGCCCTGTGGGTGTTCAAAGAAGAGAAATAAGATGTTTGGATCCATACGGACGGGACGTTGAAGGATGTCCAGAAAACGAAAAACCGGTAGGAAAGAGAACTTGTTCGTGCGAGGCGGACAATAAAGGAAGATACAAACCAGTCCACGATGAACCAACTGATCGTAAGTAGTATTGTTTTTCTATCCTCATTAGAGGTAAACTATATATATATATATATATATATATATATATATATATATATATATATATATATATACATATATAAGAAATACTAGATATTATTGACTGTTGATATAAACAAACAAAACAGTTTATTAGGGTTGCAGTCAGAATATTGGTCGGGATGTTAAATAAAAAACACTCTTTTGACTTTTTGTCGAGCTTTCGGAATGATTTTATTCCTTTTTCAAGACACTGTAAAAGACAATAATGTAAATATTTAAAAAATATATCACAATACTTCAGTGTAACTTACTAGTCGTTGAGATTAGTTTTGTAAGCATTGAACACTCAACATTTATACAACACATTAAAATATACAATTATGGACATATACATCATAAAATTTTTAAAATTTGTTGTAAAAATAGTAAAACTTGATTGATGGCATGTTTTACTGGTGTATATTAACTCATACAGAGAATGGAAAGAAAAAACAGTGTAATTAATATGTAATTAGGTGTAAATTGATGTTATCTTTCTTTACAAGAAATACTATATTAGAGCCTCTCCTTAGGTGTCTATCTTATTTTAACCTGTCTTAATGGTATGCAACATATTATACAGAGGTGTAATTTTTGTACAGGTAAATATTTATTTTATTTTTGATGTTTTTCTAGTAAATAACAATAAATGTTACTTAATTTGTCTATATCGGACTTTTTATTGATGCAAGATGTGCTAGATTTTATGAAACACATTTCCAAAAAAACCCGTTTTAAATGGTTCTTTTCTTTTGCCAAAATACAGGAATCATCGAAATTGAACTCATGTTTTAGAGTTAGTGCATGTTCTGTCAATGCACATGCATTGATTTTTTTGGTTTTTATATCACTGCGATGTGATATCACCCTGTTGTGAACGTTACGAGATGATTCTCCTATGTAAATTTTATTACAGTTACTACACGGTATAGAATAAACAACATTCGATGACTCCTGTATTGTGAAAGGATCTTTTGTTTTTGTGTAAAGCTTCGATACTGTTTTCACATTTTTGGTTGTAATTTTTAAGCCACTAACATTTTTAAAGATGTTCATTAGCTTAGGTGTCAAAAATGGAATATAGGGTAGGCAACCATAAGTTATTTTAGATGGTAATACTGATGCGTTATGTGTCAATGTCAATTGTCGGATCTCATTGTTATGAAAATTTTGGTTGACAGAAACTTGTGAAGGAAAAGGAGAACCGAAAATTAGTTTATTTAACAGCCCTATGGGATAAGAATTCTCTTGTAGTATGGATCTCAACTTTTTTAGTCCCTTGTCTCTGAATTCTATGTGTGACAAATTGATAACCCTAGTTTTTAAAGCCAAAACCAAATTTGTTTTCATCTTAGATGGATGTTGAGAATAAAAGTTTATGAATCGGTTACTAAAACAAGGTTTACGATACCACTTCGTCCTTAGCATGCCATCATTGCCACGATGTATTAGTATCTTCCATTGATGCTCCTAATAGTAAACTTGCTAAACACCTTACAGATATTCTCACAATTTCCTACAACGAATCCAATGAATTCTATATTAGAGATTCTTTTTCATTTAGTAACTTCATTAACAATGTTAAAATTCCAAATAATTATATATTGATTAGTTTAGATGTTGTGTCACTGTTTACAAACTTACCACTAGTTGCTATTCTTAACAGCATTATAAATAACTGGAACAACATCTCTCCACATACTAAGATTAGTTTAGATGATTTCATAAGAATGTTAACATGTATATTTGATTCTAACATCTTTGTATTCAATGGTAATTTTTTTAAACAAATTTTTGGCACTCCAATGGGCAGTAAAATATCTCCCATACTATGTAATTTTGTTTTGGATGAACTTATAACAACATGTAAAGAAAAAATACCTTTTCACATACCATTTATTAAACGTTATGTAGATGATTTGATTCTATCGGTCCCTGAAAACAAGGTAACTGATGTTTTAAACACTTTTAATGCCCAATGTGAACACCTAAAGTTTACGGTTGAGGGAGAGGCTGATAATATGATTCCTTTTTTAGACATGCTAATCCATCGTGGCAATGATGGCATGCTAAGGACGGAGTGGTATCGTAAACCTTGTTTTAGTAACCGATTCATAAACTTTTATTCTCAACATCCATCTAAGATGAAAACAAATTTGGTTTTGGCTTTAAAAACTAGGGTTATCAATTTGTCTTCTTCTTCTTCTTCTACGGCACTACAGCCCAAAATGAGCCTTGGCCTCATTTATTTTTTGCCTCCACCCTTGTCTGTCTGTGGCTGCTCTTCTCCATACACGGACTCCTAAAAGTGCTATCAATTTGTCACACATAGAATTCAGAGACAAGAGACTAAAAAAATTGAGATCCATACTACAAGAGAATTCTTATCCCATAGGGCTGTTAAATAAACTAATTTTCGGTTCTCCTTTTCCTTCACAAGTTTCTGTCAACCAAAATTTTCATAACAATGAGATCCGACAATTGACATTGACACATAACGCATCAGTATTACCATCTAAAATAACTTATGGTTGCCTACCCTATATTCCATTTTTGACACCTAAGCTAATGAACATCTTTAAAAATGTTAGTGGCTTAAAAATTACAACCAAAAATGTGAAAACAGTATCGAAGCTTTACACAAAAACAAAAGATCCTTTCACAATACAGGAGTCATCGAATGTTGTTTATTCTCTACCGTGTAGTAACTGTAATAAAATTTACATAGGAGAATCATCTCGTAACTTTCACAACAGGGTGATATCACATCGCAGTGATATAAAAACCAAAAAAATCAATGCATGTGCATTGACAGAACATGCACTAACTCTAAAACATGAGTTCAATTTCGATGATTCCTGTATTTTGGCAAAAGAAAAGAACCATTTAAAACGGGTTTTTTTGGAAATGTGTTTCATAAAATCTAGCACATCTTGCATCAATAAAAAGTCCGATATAGACAAATTAAGTAACATTTATTGTTATTTACTAGAAAAACATCAAAAATAAAATAAATATTTACCTGTACAAAAATTACACCTCTGTATAATATGTTGCATACCATTAAGACAGGTTAAAATAAGATAGACACCTAAGGAGAGGCTCTAATATAGTATTTCGTGTAAAGAAAGATAACATCAATTTACACCTAATTACATATTAATTACACTGTTTTTTCTTTCCATTCTCTGTATGAGTTAATATACACCAGTAAAACATGCCATCACTCAAGTTTTACTATTTTTACAACAAATTTTAAAAATTTTATGATGTATATGTCCATAATTGTATATTTTAATGTGTTGTATAAATATTGAGTGTTCAATGCTTACAAAACTAATCTCAACGACTAGTAAGTTACACTGAAGTATTGTGATATTTTTTTTAAATATTTACATATTTACAGTGTCTTGAAAAAGGAATAAAATCATTCCGAAAGCTCGACAAAAAGTCAAAAGAGTGTTTTTTATTTAACATCCCGGCCAATATTCTGACTGCAACCCTAATAAACTGTTTTGTTTGTTTATACATATATATATATATATATATATATATATATATATTATATATATATATATATATATATATATATATATATAGTGTGTTTGCAACTTTAATTTTGTCGCTTCTCGCATCCCAATCGCCATAATTTCTTATCGGCCCAGTCTCCTTCTTGGAGACCTCTATTTTCCATTTCTATATGAATATTGGATATCCATTTCTTTCTTGGCCTTCCCCTTTTATTTTTCTGTCTAGGTCTCCAGTTCCAAACCTTTCGTGGTGTCCTTTCTTCGTTCATCCGTCTCAGGTGTCCATACCATTTTAATTGTTTTTCGGCTATCGTATCCGTTATTGTGTTCTTTACTTTCATTCTCTCTCTTATGTTTTCATTTCTTATGTGGTCAAACAAAGTTAACCCGGAACATCTCTAGTACATCATTTCCGTTGAGAGGAGTTTTTGTGACATATTTTTGTTAAAGACCCACACTTCTGACCCATACGTCAGCACCGGCTGAATTATAGCCTGATATTATTTTTCTTTGTTTTCTTAGTTAAAGTTTTATTCCACAGGATCGTATGTAGTGTTTTTATCATCTTTTTTCCTTTTCCTATTTTTCTTGTTATATTTTTGTCGTCTCTCCCGTCTTCGCTTAGTGTAACTCCGAGATATTCGTACTAATCAACGTTTTTAATTAATCCGCTTTCTGTTTCCATGTCTTGGCCGATGTCTTTTCGGTATTAACCTGTAATCCCCATTTTTTGAATTCGTCTATCAGTTTGTTTATCATGTACGTCATATCTTGTAGGTCCTCGGCAATAACTACCTGGTCGTCTGCGAAGAGGATTGTGTATATAGGAGTGTCATTTACCCATATGCCCATTGGGCTGCATTTTCTCATCCAATATTTTAAAGCATTACCAAGATATATTTTAAATAGGGTTGGGGAGAGGCAAGAGCCCTGTTTGACACCCTTTGTTTGGGTGAAACCCTTGGAAATTTGGTTTCCAACCTTAATATAAGCTTGGTTATCTTGATATAGCTTTTTCACGGCATTTATATATACTGCATTTATACCTGCGTTTTCCAATGTTGTCCATAGTCTCTGCAGTGGTACGGAGTCAAACGCTTTACGGAGATCTATAAAAGTGGCATGAAGTTCTAGTCCTCTTGCTAATCTCTTTTCCGTTAGATGTTTGAGAGTAAATACATTGTCGACACAAGATCTCCCTGGTCGGAATCCACTTTGTTCTTCGATCTCTGTGGCTTCTTTTTCTATTCTGGCTTTCAGAACTCTTTCATACAGTTTGCCAGTGGATGACGTAATGCTGATACCTCGGTTATTACTGCAGTCATTCCTGTTTCCCTTTTTGTAGATGGAGTTTATGTACGAGACTTTCCAATCTCTTGGGATACTTTCTCCTTGTAGACACTTGTTAAACATTTTACAAAGCAATTCTAATGTTATTGCAGTGGCATGTTTGAATAACTCGATAGGTAAATCACCCGGTCCAGGAGCTTTATTATTTTTCATTTTTTGTTATGCGTTTTTTATTTCTTCTACGGTAATCATCGCCACTTCATTTAACCCCGTTTCAACTCTATCTATCTGTGTGTCTAGAAACTGTGTACGTTGTTCATTTAATAGATTTTCATAATATTTTTTCCATCTTTCTATATCTATGGAGTTTATTTTTTTGTTTTGTTTGTATTTTTTCTAAGACTGTTGATAGTTTTCCAAGCTTGTCTGGACCTAGATCCTCCTACCATTGAGCTTATTTCTGCACACTTGTTGTCCCAGGTTATGTTTTTTGTTTTTTTAATTTTCTTTTTTACTATATTTATACAAGTTTAAACAAAAACTGTAATGTATTTATATCGATTTTCTTCTTTCATGCTTCCAATAAAAGGTACACGTAGTTTGGTTAAAAGTAAGTAATATTGCGCAATAATAATTCTGTATGTAAATTAATTGTGCAAGTAGTGCTGCTTAAAAATCGGAAAGGCCAGAACTTCATTTATCAAAATAAAACTAGTTTTGTGTAGTCGCGATCTTAGCGTGACTAACTATGTATTGAGCATTTTTATGCATTATATATTGAGCTTAAGCGTGAAAGCTTGAATGCTAACTACCGCCATGAGTAAAGTGCCTTTGAGATGAGGTGCTACTGTATAATGCTTAGAATATCATGGATGGGCAGTGCTTAACGAAAAAGTCCTTCGATTGGATATGAAGCGTGTTTCATTTAATATAGAAGTTTTATTTACTATGAAAAACACAAGCTTGATTAATTTGGCCAAATCCCAAGAAATGACAAATACGAACTTCTAAAATTAATAATAGAAGGAAGAAAAAAAATATTCAAGAAAAGGGAGCTCCAAATCGAAGGCGTACTTCCTCGCTAAAGAACCTTAGATAATGGCCAGCGTAACGACTCTGTTTAGAAAAGCTGTTGACAAAGTAAAAATTGCGCTGATGATGGTCATTTTTTTGAACGTGGTAATTGAAGAAGAAGAAATAGTTCTACATCATTAATATTTTGCAAAAATTAATTTCTAAATAATGCTCTTGTAAAAAAAATAAAAAATTAGTTCTTGAAACCTTATTTATGAGCCTTAAAAAGGTTCTTCAAACCTTATTTATTACATTTAAAGTGACCCTGGATTGCAAATTGTAGATTTCAAAGGGATCGTTTGGTCTCAAAGACTTTTCCAAACTGAAACCTAAAATATATTTTACACATACATCTATATTACCAATTTATATATATGAAAGGGATGCTAGTATTATTGAATTTGGCCAAAACAATAATTTTGTCATAGCGAGTAGATTGTTTACACTGAGAAATAGAAGGCTGTACATATGGAAGTTAAAAGTAGATCAAGTAGAGAGAATTATAAGAAATCAAATAAAATATGTATTGAACAAAGATACAGAAAACATATCAGAGTGCCGACATAGAATCAGATCACAATGTAATAGTGGCCAAAATTAGGCTTAAAATGAAAATAATAAAACAAAGACCAACAGATGCACAAATAAATACAAGTAAATTAAGAAACTTATTCATAAGGCACCACTTGAAAGATGAAATCAAAAATTTATATTAATGAATGGCAAAGAACAAATTTTGCAAATTACTAATAACGCGGAGTCAAACCCGGAAAACAACTGAAATCATATATATATATATATATATATATATATATATATATATATATATATATATATATATATATATATATATATATATAGCAAAACTGGTAAGATTAATCGACCGAAACGTAAAAAAACAATTTATTGTGTTGGAATATCGGGTATGCGGTCTGTTATTATTAAAAAAAAACTCTTTTTTCTTTTAATCCTCTATATAATGATGTTAGATAGTTAATTTTACCGAAAGATTATGTTTTAATTTCGTTAGATGTTATATCGTTATTCACTAACATACCAATAGATCTGGTCAGTAGTATAATACAGTCAAAATGGAATCTCATCCAAAATTATACAACAATTTCCAAGGATAGTTTTTTAACACTTCTGAACTATGTTTTTGAGAACACCTATTTTAGCTTTTATTATAAGTTCTATCGACAAATATTTGGAGCACCTATGGGTAGTCCACTCAGCTCCATAATAGCAACTATCATTTTGGACCATTTGCTGGATGTCATTATTCCACAATTATCTTTCTCTTTACCCTTCATTAAAAAATTTGTAGACGATCTTATATGTTCTGTTCCTACTTCACAAATTCAAAATACCTTAAACATTTTGAATAACTTTAATAAATATATCCAATTTACTTTAGAGATTGAAAATGATTGTTCGATATCATTTCTGGACACCAAAATAATAAGAACAGAACAAAACAAAATATTGATAGATTGGTATCAAAAGCCAACACACTCTGGAAGATATTTAAATTTTTTTTCAAATCATCCTACTCACCAAAAGTTTAATACAGTCATTGCAATGAAAAATAGGGGAAGGCATATTAGTGACGATAAATTCATAAACAAAAACTTAAATTTGCTGTTAAACATCTTTCAAAATAATGGATACCCAAAACATATCCTTAAAAAATTGATATTTAACTCTGACATTTTTGACGGTCCCACTGATATCGAAGCAGTACAAACAACACAATATAAAAAACTACCATTAATAAAACAGTTAACACCTTCTGTGACTAGTTTATTTAAACAATTTACCAACATAAAAATTGTCCAATATAATTTATTAGAAAACCGACAACTGTTTTCTAAAGTAAAAGACAAGACACCAACTTTAAACAAAACTAATGTTATCTACAAACTGCCTTGTTTGGATTGCCAGAGCTGTTATGTTGGCCAAACTTCTCAATAGCTAAAACAAAGGGTCACCCAACACAAAACGGAAGAACACATGTGCGGCAGTTGACCATCACTTAAAAACTGGCCATCAATTTGATTACTCAAATGTCAGGGTTTTACAGCAAGAAAATAATTACAAAAAAAGATTGTTTTTGGAAATGTGTCATATAAATAGAGAAAACTATGCAGTAAATTACAAGGCAGACACGGGACAGTTGAGCAATATCTACTGTAATATTCTTAGTATGTCTAAATAATTTTTCTGCTAACAATTATATTTTAAATCACCCTGTATATTTTTAATGTGTAATTTTATTGTGTTTTTAATTGTTTCGTTGTTTTTGTTTGCTCTGTTTTTATATTTTTACATTTAATTACTAGTGACCTAGGTACTTTTAACAAAAACTGTCAGTACTGTTTAGAACAAATTATGTTCAACTTGTTTAAATACTTTCCACTCTAAATCTGTAAGTGAGTCACTTTTTATTCAAACTGATTTTTATATAACTTTTATTCAAATTTTTAGTTGTCTCCTGATGAAGCTGACAAAAAATCAGCGAAATATAGAGGATTAAAAGAAAAAAGAGTTTTTTTAATAATAACAGACCGCATACCCGATATTCCAACACAATAAATTATATATATATATATATATATATATATATATATATATATATATATATATGTATATAATAAATGCATATATTATATGCATTTATTTAACTAATTTACATAAGATTTTTCTTTTTTATACTGTACTTTTTAAATATTCGCAAACAGAACACGGCGTAAGCAACTGGGCAATATTATCTATTTTTCAGGTGTGGAGCAACTGCATTTTCGGTTTAAATACCTTATATCAATATTTTTTTCTGTCATTTTTAAAATGCAACCAATAAACTTAATATACATTTGTGTGTTTCAGGATACTGCGTTGACAAAATCCATAAATGCAAATTAGCTGTACAGGCAAGATTGTGTCATTATCCTTACTACGTCACTCACTGTTGTGAATCGTGTCGAAGAGCGCAAGAATCGTTAGAATAAGAAGCTGTGATTGGATAATATGAAAATTGTTTAGGTAGTCAAAAGTACTGAAGAGAGGAAAAATTAGTAATAATACCTAAATATGAACAAATGATTGAGCGAGTGGTATAAAAAGTTCTGTGTCTTTTGCATATAAAAGAAACAAGATAAAACATGACAAGAAATGATAAATTATAGGTGAATGATAAGTGTCACTTATTTATCTCAATTATAATTGTTTTAACAGACAGATATTTAAGTACAAAAGGTTTGTATTTTCTGTGTTTTTAATGTCTCCCCCATTACAATCAACAATATTTTAAGAAACATGGTGATAAATCAATAAAATAAAGGATTATTGACATTATATTGTCAATAAGCCAAGAAAAAATTAAATTTTATTAAATCATAAAGGCTTTGCTGGTATGAGCACATATTTAGGAATGTTTGGAAAATAAGTCTTTTATTCACAATCCTTAATAGGTTTTATTAAAGTTAAAAAAAGAGAATGGGCTACTGGTTTCGCTGATTACAAACTCTTACAGCATCTTCAGGTAATCAAGAAAATAAAGATATCAGTACAATAATTCTAATTATTCTTAAATTATATTATATTGTTATAATAAAGATAAGAATTGTACTAATATTCTTTAAAAAAATGATTTTAGCATTTATTCAGTTGTCTAAATTAAGTTATGGCCTAACTATCACAGATCCATCACCAAATCGGTTGACTTGTTGAGTGCTAATACATAGATCCAGCGGTGCTCTTAAGCATCATGATGTTGAGCACTTTTAGTATTAAATGAAAGTTTCTTCTAAAATTTCGATGTCTACAGATGTTCTGCGTCTTAAATGATCGCCATCCTTAGATTATTAAATAGGTTTCTAGCAGTAGGTGGGCCTTAATGAAATTTCGAATAAAAAAACGTCATTTTCATTTTGCAACCTTTCTTCCGGCCTTTTATACATACCCTACAGTCTTGATAAAAAGTTTTCACCACGGTGAACCACAAAAGGGCTTGTAGATACATAAAAACGGAAGGAAAATATTTGTTCAATTTATTTGTTAAAATCGCACGTGTTTTTTGAGAGTTGCCATGTGTTCTTTTATGTTAGATAATCAGTGGTCGTCAATTACGATACTTAAATATTACTACGTAGATGGTTGCTATGAATGTTCTCCTCCTATGCGTCATCTCTGTTGAGGTTGGTGACCACTACGGCCAATTCGTTTCTATCCTGGCCGGCGTGTATTAAGTTATTTCGTTGATGTTTGTCTCTCAATCTCTTATATTTCTCTGTCACGATTTCCTATTGCGAGTTATAATTCTTCTTCCATCAATCTTTGCCTTTAAGATCAGTGTTTCTATTCGTACTCAATGAGGCCATTGATATATATTTCTCCTTGCCTAAGCCGTGATTATTCCTTTTCCTTAAGACCCTTTTGCGTTATTACAGCCGATTCTTAGATTTATAGAGCCACATTTCAAACACTTGCACCTTTTTTTAAACATTTCTGCTTTAAAATGTGCGTTTTTACATCCGTACAGCAATAAGAATCAAACGTAGCACTTTCGTGTCCAAACCCTTATGTTCAACTTCAAGTGGCATAGAATTTTTTTCATGTTTCATAACCGGTTTCAATGCGTCCCCTAATCTCTTTTAAGTAATCCAGGCGATTATTTATTCATCTTCCTAGATATATTGTGTATGTTGTCTTCTTAGATATCTGTGGATGTTTTGCAGGTTAGTATCGTTGATAACTATTTTCACGCTATTTTGCATGTAGCTTCCACGGTCAAAAACTAAAGTTTTGGTTTTTGAGAAGTTTATCTCTAGCCCCATTCATCACCATCTCGATTTCGCCAGGACATTCATCAGTGTCTTTAAATGTTCTTCCTATTCGGCCGGTACAACAGTGTCGTCTGCGTCTCTTAAGATATTTAACACAACTCCTTATTAATATATTTACTTTAAGTCCTTTATGATATATTCCGCATAGGCGTTAAAGAGAAGCGGAGACAGGAAGTATCTTTTATATCTTAATATTGTTGCAGTTAATATTTCATAACTTGATTCGATAAATAACAATGTTGTCCGTGTGTAGAAACTTTTACTAAAAAGTGATTTCGCAGCTTTATCCTATGATTAAAGCTACTGTTATTGATAACGATGTCTTTCTTGTCAAAAATCTGCATTTGGTGATTACCATACAGCGATTGTATGAAAACTAGTTACTACTGTTAGCTTGTATTTTAAACTGTATTCCGTTATAATTTCTATTATAAAACTGCAGTGACAAATAAAAAACTTTAACTTAATAATTATAAACAAAAGACACAGAATTTTGGAGATTGAATGATGTTTCAATAATAATAGAAAAGTAGTAAACCCTGTTTTGTGTATTTCTTTTTACTCTATGACAACAGATTCACTTTTTTACCCCTACTGTTCAGCAAAAATTAGCTTATATAAGTTAATGGGGTTGCATCTCCAGATATAATTTAAATAGTGTTAGCAGCAACCAGAAGGGTATCAATATTTGGCATTTATTTTATAATTTTGTAATATAGGCAAGTAAACTAAAAGCAACTTAAAATGTAATAATTTATAGTTTGTTTGCATGTTTATATACGTATATCAAATCAGCGTCTTGATGTTTTTATCATTTTAATATATGTCTTTTATTTGTTACTGAAATATCAACCATGACGGAATTCTGTATGCCCATTCTTATTATTTTTGATGGTTTTCTTTTACCAAAAGTTCGAAGAAGCAATTTTAAGCATTTTTGTTAAATTAGATCGCTACTATATCATAAAGAAACGGTTTTATAACGACATTAATTAATAGTATTCACTTTATGTAAAATAACTTGTTAAGAATATTTTTTTCTACTAAACCAGTCTCTATTTTACAATAACAAATGCCAAGTTAGTTCTAGCTTAGGTCTAGTGTTGAGGTGTTAAGGTCTAGTACCCCCAACTAGACTTAATAATCACTTTATCTACCCTACAAAGCACGGTGGTGGCTCAGTTAATTTATAAATTTAAAATTTTGTCATTACTGAGAATCAATTTCGAATCCTCTAGCTTGTTATGCCAGTTACCTAACCACTGAGCTCCGGCCGACACACTCATTTAGTTACTCAGTCGGTATATATGTATATAGATGTGCAAACACAATTCAATCGAATGTGCATTTCAGTATCACAATAGAATAAAATACTCCAGTTTATGTTAATAGATGTCTGTGATTTGTTTGTTTATTAAATTAACTTTAGTATTAGGACAGGGTGAGAAATGGATTTTTACCAATTTTTATAAGCAAATTCTTACAACAGCTACTAAGAAAAAAAAATTTTATCTTCTATAAAATATTCAAATTAGTTTTATAACGCAATTTTAAATTCTTGTAGGTAGGCTATATATGTGGACAGCACAATTTTGGTAGCCAGGATGATAGTGAATACATAAATCTAAATAATTGATAACTTTGGCATGAAAATTAAGAGGAATATAGTAAAAAGGTAATAGTAATAAATGAGATCTAACCAGAACTTTGAGGTGAAAAATAACATTATGAATATTGTCCTAGCAAAAGTGGTCAAAAAGGAAACTTAATGGACTGCGAACACTTTAGAAAAATAACCAAGAAAACATAATGAATGTGGAGTAGAAATAGAACTACGACTAATTAAGAATAAAATGAAAAAACAATCAATAATAAAAGAAATAGAAAAGAAGCAGTTCAGCTTCAGCAAAACATAATTGATTGGGAGCAGAATTAGGACTACTTAAGAAAAAAAATATACAGCAGTCAATAATAAACTGAATAGAAAAGAAGCAACTCAACTTTTTTATATGTCTGGTAAAAATGTAGAAGTGTATTTAAAAATAGAATATAGAATTTTAAAAATATACTAAGATGGAATAAGTGGGAAAAGGAGCATAAGAGAAACTATAATAAAACGGAACATAAAAGAAAGAATAGAACGTACAATCATTATCTTGATTGTCTATGCTATATGTGATTAGATCATAAACAGTTTTAATACTAGTAAATAGGGGGAAATATATATATATATATATATATATATATTATATATATATATATATATATATATATATATATATATATATACTAATTTTCTACCTATATACTGATTCATATAACTCAAGCCATAAACTTCCATAAAAAGTAATCCTGTCACCTCCTTCTATATAAGATATATTTTTAAAGACTATAATCTTCATCTTTTCTTAATTTACTTACTTTAATATTTTTAAATTTGTGTCTTAGTTCTTACTGTCTTTATTAAATGATCTTTTTCGGTGGTTTTTGTATGAATATTGTTGATTTGTTTTTTCCTCTTCTTTGTCAAGAACTCTTTTAACTACATGACATGAGAATCTACAGAAGTGAATATGTCTCTTTAAGTACACCAAAATGAATCTCATAGGTTTTGTTCTCAGAATTTTTTAATGCTAGTATTTATAGCTTATCAAAACGACGTTTTGATGAAACTGGTTTAGAGTATACATCAATTTGTTTGAAATATCATACAAATATCCGAAATACAATATTTTGCCCGTCTGATGCCACTTCATCCTCCCATCTTTTCTGTGGTCTTTCTTTTGGTCTTGCGGCCTGCATTTTTCTATCCAGGGCACTTTTTAAGCACCTTTCGTGATGGGCTGGTCACTACATGATCAGCCCATCAAAGTCTCCGAAGTTTAACATATTCTGAGATCGGTTGGTTCCTATTTGAACAGTTGGTTGAGTTCATGGTTGTACCTGGACCTCCATACTCCGTTTTCGTTAATAGGTCCAAATATCTTCCAAATTTTTTTCGAAGACTTCCAGCTCTCGTTTTGTGTCTTCTGTCTTCACTCATGTCGTGCATCCACAACATACCGTTGGTCTAATAATAGCCTTGTAGGCGTCTGTTTCCCTAACCCTTACATGTGTTAGTTTTTTGTCTTTAGACTATTTATTTCTAGTCCAGTCCCTTCTATCCCTGTTTTTAATTGTGAATATATTCCTCCACCTCCTCTCTTCTGCGAGACATAATGCTAATGTAATCGGGATAGGCAGCAATCTGTATTGATTTAGTTGTTAGGAGATTACCTCTTCCTATATTCAGCCGTTTTATCACATAATTAAGAGTCAGGTTAAAATGCATGTCCATATACTCTTCAAATTTTTCGCGTCCCTCGGAGAATTCGAACATAGGTTTTTTTAGACTGATTTTATTTCTTTCGGATCAGTGGTTATTTGCCCTTCTTAATTTCTG